CTGAGAACTGCAATAATAAAGGCAGCTATCATATTCCTACTTCACTACAATGCTGTATAAATGCTAATACTTTAGCTAACTATAGTGAAATAAAACTTACCTTAAAAATCAAATCCTTTTTCCCATAACGAAGCTCTTTCAGCTGGGCTTGGATCTTTTTTGACTGAAAATGAGGATAATCAAATCAGCTTTTGTGTTTTTTAAATTTTAAATATAAAAAAAAAATTGTGAATTCTGAGAACAGCAGAATCTAGATCAGATTTAAAATGTAGAATGCCCCCCTCCAAATAATTTTCGATTACTTTTCCAGTTCACAAGTCAAATCAACCAAAAGTACTGAGGAAAATGCAAAATGGCACACAACTAAAGCACATACCTGAGTTAGTACTGTAAAGAACAGCAGCTGGGCTTACACATTTTGGACATGAGCTGTTATTAATTACAGGGAGAGACTCTAATGAAGAAAATGCTTTCAATCATCATTAGTAAAATTTTAGTACAGAGGAAATTTTATATGCTTTGGTTTCTTTCTGGCAAGGTGAGAAATTATATATGCAAAAAACCCAGACTAAAGTAATGTGAGTATATCAGATTCACATGTAATAACTTTTTTTAAAACTAAAAGAAAAATAAAGGAAATGCTTATATGAGTGCTGGTACTTCTACATTGAGGAATTTGCCAAAAATAGGATCTTTTTTCCCTTGAAATAAGGAAACAGAATCAGTAGTAATAGGTTGTTCCTGTCTCAATGTTAATTTCAAAACAGGCCTTTGGCAATTCCTGGCTTAGTGTAGACATGGAGTTCATGTAAATGAAATCAGTTTTATATATGTTCTAGATGCATATATCTACAGAGTTATATCATAGGCACACCTAGATTATTTTATTAGTCTAAAACTTGAGTTTGCAACTTGCTTTCTAATACATTTGAGCTGCCTCTTGTGAAGTCACAAAAGTTTAGATGACAGCACTTCAGGAACACTCACCATATAAGCATAATATATATTCTCTACTCGTATATATTCTTGTGTATATATATATGATACACCAGAACCTCAGTACAAAATACTTGGATGCAAAATTTTTGGGTACATAGATTTAGAACAGAGAAGAATCTTCCTTACCTCTTCTGTGTGCATACCACAAAGCTTGTTTCCTGACAAGAGCTTGTTTTTGAGGCTTTTGTTGTGAGAGTGGGACAAAAAAAGCCAAAATAACTTATTAGTAAGTGTTACAAAGTATTAAGAGACCCTTTAACTATTTGATCAATACTGGCTTTATTTTTAAAATGGATAACATCTTCAATTCACCAACAAAGATACAAATAAACAAGAGAGGTTAATCAAGGCACAGTATCCTCTTACAGAATTCTTAAAGGCATTTGCATTACAATTTGCTTCAGCAGGAACAGGACTGCCCATAGAGACCTTCCCAGAACACTGGCAACTGAAAGCAACTTAGATTTAATACGCTGAGGTGCAGCACATTAGGGCAGGAAAAAACCCTCTAATCCTTTCTTGGTATCAACTCCATAGCTCAGTATCATTTTCTGTAAATCATTTTAACATCTGAGTAAAAGGGCCAAGGTCTCATCACTTGACCTTGATGATCAAAATCAAGGGGTGTTTCTGCTAAATTTTATAATTTAAAACTGAAAATAATAAAACCAGTACAAAGTTAGTTACCTGAAAGCATT